CAGATGGTGAAACCCTTGCCTTGTAAGCTTGAGGAACTGAGTTACATTTGTTTGGTTATTTATTGCTTGGAGACAGTAAGACCCTGTCTGGAACAGCTCAGGATGGCCTGGAACTCACAGAGATCCACCTGCCTCTGCCTCCAAAGGACTGGAGTTAAAGGCGTGCGCCACCACGCACAGCATAGAGGACCTGAGTTCAGATCTCCAGCACCCAAGTCAAAGAGTAGGCCAGGTGCCCACTGGCCAGTCAGTGTGGTCTCGTGAGCGAGTTACAGGCTTGGTGAGGTGGCTCAGTGGGTAAAGTGTGAGCACTTGCCACAAACGCCCGACGGTCTAAGTTCAGTCCCTGCAGCCCGTGGTGGAAGGAGAGAACCGAGTCTTGAAAGTCGCCTTCCGACTCCACGTGCGTGTTCTGGCATGTGTGCCTGCATTCACATTCATGCACACATACAATTATAGCAAATAAAAACTGACATGTAGTATTGACCTCTGTATACACACGTGCATGTGCATGTGCACACACATACACATGCCAGATATGGTAGGTCATACCTGAAAGCCTGGCTTTTGGAAGGGAAAAGCAAGAGGATTATCATGAGATCATAGTGAGTTCTGGAGCAGCCTGAGCTACAGTGTGAGAGTCTATGTTAAAAAAAAATTTCGGGCTGGAGAGATGGCTCAGAGGTTAAGAGCACTGCTTGTTCTTCCAAAGGTCCTGAGTTCAATTCCCATCTGTAATGAGATCTGGTGCCCTCTTCTGGCCTGCAGGGATATGTGCAGACAGAACACTGTATACATAATAAATAAATCTTTAAAAAAAAAAAAAAAATTTCTACCCTCCTCCCCCAGAAAGGTCAAACATGCTGTACACATCTGTGATTCTCCAGCACTTGAGATGCAGACAGGGGGGTCACCAGTCTCGGGTCAGCTGGGGCTACACAGGAAGACCCTGTCTCAAAAAGTAGAGAGGGAGGGGCAGGTAGACAGAGCAGAGTCGTTATAGGAAAACAAGATCCCCAAGGAGGTGACATGACTCAGAGCAGTTCATTCTCAGCAGGACGTGGTGGTGCACACCTCCAACCCCAGCACTCTGGAGGTAGAGGCAGGTGGATCTCTGTGAGTTCAAAGCAAGCCTGGTCTACAGAGCGAGCTCCAGGACAGCCAGGACTCCCCTGCCTCAAAGCAACATCAAAGGTCCGGTTGACTTCTCAACTCACAGGGCAGCTGACCTCCAGTGTTCCAGATGTTTTGGGAACACTGACTCCAGTAATAGAGAAATCTGTCAAATGCTTAGACTGGGCCTCTTGTCATCTCAGTCTCACTTGCCAAGTGTCTCTAGGAACAAAGACAGGAAAAGGAGGTGCTCCCTAAAGAGAGAGAGGACATGAACATACAGGCCTGTTACTCCTGAACTTGGGAGGAAGAGGCAGGAGGGATCCTGAGTTTGGGGTCAATCTGGGTTACACAGCAAGCTCTAAGCTCATGCCTGGGCTACATATCAAGAGTAGATACAAACAAGTAAAATAAAAGCAGCATGAAAAGAGACACTGGAGGTTGTGTGGACTCTTCTCTCTACTGAGTTTTCCTCCCAAGGAGATGGAGGCACCTCCTCCCAGTTCACATCCGTTGGGCATCTGGTACTTCACGGGTTGGCTAAGAGCAGCAGTAGAGAGGGGAGAGAGCTCACAGCAGGCCCATTCTCCTCAGCTCTGCCCACCTCTTAAGGATGACCGTGGTCAGGGAAGTGCAGAAGACAGGCACACACTGCTCCTTCCTGGGATGAGGTATTCTTTGGATCACCCAACACCATAGCATTCTGGAACTGCTTTGGACCACTCTCCCCTGTGACTTCCCTTTTTCAAAACTAGATTTCTTTTTCTTTTGAAACACAGTCCTTTTTTTTTGAGACAGGGTTTCTCTCTGTGTAGTCTAGGCTGGCATTGAACTCAGAGAGATCCACCTGCTTCTGCCTCCCAGTGCTGGGGTTAAAAGCGTGCAACACCACTGCCTGGCATTGAAACAGGGTCTTATGTAGCCCAGTGCGATGCTTTGAATTACAATGACTCCCATAGGTTCAAGATTGAATACTTGGTCCCAGTTCATAGAACTGTTTGGAATAGGAGCTATGGCCTCATTGGAGCTGTGTCACTGGGGGTGGGCTTTGAGGCTTCAAAAGCCCAGGCCAATTCCCAGTTAGCTCTCTGCCTTAAGCTTGTGGGTCTGTTGTAATCTCCAGTTACTGCTCTATGGCCATGCCTGCCTGCCTGCCTGCCTGCTGCCACAATCCCCACCGCGATGGTCATGGACTCACCATCTGAAACTCTAAGTCCCAATAAGTTCTTCTTGCTCTATGTTGCCTTGGTCATGGTGTCTCTTCACAGTAAAAGAAAAGTAACTAAGACACCAAGGCTGGCTTTGAACTACTGATCTTCTTGCATCCACCTCCCAAGAGCTAGGATTAGCACTTCCAGCTGTAAGTGCACTTCTTGCACAATCCCTTAACTCTTTCTCCTTACCCCTCTCCACTCATCAGGGCTTTTGCAGTAAAACGTGAGCTATCTGCCACCAACCAGTAAACAACTGTCTGGGAGAAATGAGGACTCAAACAGGAAGTTGATGTTACACCTGCCTGAGCCTCCTTCTCCCAATCCCTCACCACAGCTTTATGTAGCTCAGGCTGGCCTCAGGCTTGCTAAGGATGACCTTGACTTCCTGACCCTCTTTCCTCTGCCTCCAGAGTGCTTGGATGTCAGGCCTGCATCACTACCCCTAGTTGTGATTGGTGCTGGAATTGAACCCAGGGCTTCATTAAGACAGACAGGCAAGTGTGCTACCAATTGGGCCACATCCCTACCTCCACCCCCATGCTTTCTTAAAGCTTGATTTCTTAAAAAAAAAAATTAATTTTTATGTTTTACGAGACAGGGTTTCTCTTGTTGTCCTGGCTGTCCTGGAATTCTCTGTAGACCAGGCTGGCCTCAAACTCAAAGGTCCACCTGCCTGTCTCCCAGTGCTGGGGTTAAAGGAACCCACACAGCTTCCAGGGTCTCCCTTTTTGTCCTGGTGTTGTTTGCTTGTTGATATCTACTCCTGGTATGTAGCCAAGGCATGGACTCAGGATCCTCCTGCCTCTTCCTCCCAAGTTCAGGAGTTACATAGTATAGCACATTGCCAAGTCTCTTAACTGTATCCTTTGAAAGTTTCCACAGAAACTGGGACCCGTTTTGATGGCCTCACCAGAGCAGTTTACTGCCCTCACATTTCTTCTGTTGCTTGTACTTTGCTCTTGGGGACTTCAAATCTGGGTCTGTAATTATTCTTCTTTATAGGACAAGCTGCAAATTAAGAGGACTCTAGCCTATGGTTCACTTATGCTAACATAAACTTGAATTAGATACACGCAGGCTGGGTGGCTGACGACAGGAAACGAAACACAAAGGGTCTGTTCATAGGCCTGAGCTCCCTTCCATGAGAGCTGACAGGCTGGCTCTTATCTGTCCTGCATGTCCCTGCTCAACTTTCTCCGGGGAGGCCCACTTGTTTCTCTGCTAAGAGTTTCAGTCCTGGGTAAAATTCTGCCTCTGCTACAGTTACCACTTTACATCCCGTTTGTTTATCCTGCTCCCTCCACATTCAAATGTAATTTTCAGAAAAAGCTGTTTCTAATACCTGCATTGGGACCTTACCCAGGTTTCAGTGTTATCCAACAGTAATACTGATAATAACAGTTCACAGCCCTGTACAGCCCTTCTCACAACGGCACACACGTGACATTGTTATTTATAGCTCCTATCCATAACATCAGGCAGAGCCCTCTCAGCTCTATGACATTGGCATGCACTCGGCTTTGCCCAGGCCTCCTCTTCTTTGAAGATAAGATTATATTTATGTATTTGTGTGCGCGTGTGTGCGCGCGCGCGCGTGCACGCTTGAGGGGCGATCAGAGGACAGTTTGTGGGAGTGGGTTCCTCCTTTTCACCCTGTGGGTCCCAGGGTTGGAATTTAAATTGTCAGGTTTGGTGGCAAGCACCTTTATCTGAGCCACCATCTCCCCCGCCCAGAGACATTTTTTGATTTTCTTTTTTTTTTTTTTTTTGAGACAGGGTTTCTCTGTGTAGCTCTGGCTGTCCTGGAACTCACTCTCCAGACCAGGCTGGCCTCGAACTCAGAGATCTACCTGCCTCTGCCTCCTGGGTGCTGGCATTAAAGGTATGTGCCACCACTGCCCAGCTAGGGCTGCACAAATGTAGCCTTGGTAAGGTCCATGAGCATGGTGCCCTGATCTTGTTTACAGTGGTCATCTTTGGAGGACTTTGGGGTCTTCACAGCGCCACAGTTTTGTATTAGAATTAAAGGAAATAACATTCAAAGCCCATCATTTAATAAGAACTCAGAAAGCAGGAGCTGTGTGTGATACAGCTAAATAGGGTCACCCTGAAGGGCACTGCTCATGAAGGGTGAAAGACAAGAATCCTAAGACTCTCAAATACTAGAAGCAAGAAGCTGGGCTTCTGACTTGGGGGGAAAGGGGATGGATTGAGGGTATCAGTTTATTCGAATTTAGACAGCCTGATTCTCATCAGATCACAGGGTCAACTTTAGGAATGATTGCCCCCCTCCCCCAGAGGGCCCCAGGTCAGCTGGCACCTGGTTATCAGTCTCCCACCCTGCCCTGATTCTGGAATGTGACAGATTAGTAGCACTGACCATCCAAAGATAATGTCAATAAACTGTTTGGACACTTGTCCCAGGGTCATGCTGCCCAGCCATGACGGAAGAATCTACTGAGGGGAGCATGGTGCTGGGAGGGGAGTGTGGAAAGGGCACCTCTGTCCTGTTATGGAGAACGGAGCTCTACTTTAGTAATCCTCTGGATGCGAAAGCGCTTGTACAAAGCAGCCATGTTCAAAATGTTCAAAATAGAAAACACGTGGTCAAAAGAAGCCTCAAAGTGGACACTGCAGCCCCTGGCCCTTTCCAGAAGTGTCCTGCGGACTTACCAAAGAGCAATGGCTTGAGGCTGAGGGTTCGGATGAAGTGATCCCTGCCTGCGACCAGCTGGACTTTCCGCTCATACCCCACCTAAAGGAAAAGTACACAGAGGGCAGCTGATGTGCCAGGCCGCACTGCTCAAGAAAAGTACCGTGTCAGGGCGCGACAGTGGGAAAGTAGTAGGCGTGCGCGTAACCCGCGCACAGTGATGCATGGAGCAGCGTGGGGGCCCAGAGCTGAGCCACGGTCGGTCCGGCTTGGCTAGGCAGTACCTGGAGCGCGGGGCAGCGCGGGGAGAAGATGTTCTTACCTTGATGCCCTCCAGCCGAGCCAGGGGACCCAAGGCTGGCACTGACTGGGGGCTCTGCTCGTGGCGCTGGGCTCTGGAGTCTGTGCTCTCATCCCCGTTGCTGTAGTGCACGAAGAGCAGCAGCGCCAGTACGTTGCCCAGGTACAGGTGCACGAACACCATCAGCACCAAGAAGTAGGCGCGGGAACAGATGCCCCGTGGCTTGCACAGTGGCCGCACCGGTGCCTCTTCGCCATCGCCTGGTCGGGTCGCTGGCACGGAAGGGCGATGCTCCGGCGGCAGCGGCCACTGCGGATTTGAGGCCTCCTCGGCCGTCTCGGCCTCAGGCCGCTGCACGGTTGCCGCCGCCGCCGCCGCCGCCGCCATGGCGCCCAGGTCGCGCGCGCGCCCAGGGGAGGGGCCGCGGGGGTGCTCGCGCTGCGCAGCCGCCGGGACCAGGACGGCGGAGTCAGCGCGCTCCGCGGTCACTAGAAGACCCAGCTTCGGGATGCTGCGCCTGCACGCAGCGGCGCTCGTCGGTCCACGCTGAGATCCTGGGACCTCGCTGGCACCGAGGGTGTCGCTTCCCGCGCGGCATACTCCCCATCGCCAAGGCCACCCCACAAATGTGGAGGCACACCAGGGGTGCACCGTTAGGACAGATCCCGTTGCTATTAGCAGTTTTTTGGTTCCCAGGTGAAGACGTCCCTTTCCCACCTTCCAGAAAAGTAGAGCGGACATTTTCTCGCTCCTGGGAGAGGGGAGGCGGGACAGAAAGGGGAGGTCGCGCTTTATGAGGTGCTGCTGAGGCAATGACCGCGCACCTGATCACCTGATGAGTAGCTTATAGAGCATGAGTTTATTTAAAAATTTTAGGTATATGTGAGTGGCTGCATATGTGTACGTGCACTCCATGCGTGCCTGTTTGCGGAGGACAGAAGGGGCATTGGAGCTGGGGTTACAGGCCGTGAGTCTGTGAGTTTGTGAGTCGCCATGTGAGTGCTGGGAACCGAACCTGTGCTTTCAGTGCTCTTAACCAAACAGCTTTCCGGGAGGGGGGGGGGGCTTCTTTCTTTCTTTTTCTTTCTTTCTTCCTCCTTCCTCTTTTGTTCTTTTTCCGTCTTTTTTTTTTTTTTTTTACCAAAACAAGACAGGGTCTCATATAGCTCAGGCTGGCACATCAAACTCACAAGCAGTTGAGGATGACCTGATTCCCTTGCCTCCACCTCTCAATTGCTGGAGTTACCAGGCATGCATCACCAAATCCCTGCAGTTCCTATGACCTTCTTGTAGGCCCTTCTGGGGTCAGACTGGACCACCAAGGGAGTCCTGCAAGTCACGCTCCAGGAAGCTGCCCAATGCGCAGCACTGCAGGGCTGCTGAAATCCAGACTGGGGCTGTCAGAGCTCCCTGGAGGAGTCCTGCAACAGGAAGGTTGGGCTCCCCCACCCCATCCCAGTAGCCCTCAGAATGAAACAGGTGCTCGGTTTGTGGCAACACTCTTGCCTCAAAGCTGTTGGGTGGGAAGAGGGAGGAAGAAAGGGCTTTTCCCTAATCGGGACACCCGGGCCTCAGAAGAAATGAAACTCAGATTGTAAGAGCAGCAGCGGCTGAGTGCCAAGGCATTTCTGAACTCCCGCTTTTCTAAGGGTGGGTACACACCCTAGGTCAGCTGACACCTCCCCGCCCCATGCACACACACACACACACACACACACACACTCCTGGGTTACCTTCAGGAGGCGTACACACCACAGGGCAGCTGACACCTCCCACTCCCAGTGCAAAAAAGAACTATACTATTAAGGCTGCACTTTCTGGTCCCAGACAGGACATGTCTGTTATAGAATATTATTTTAAGGTGTGCTACTTTTGTTTATGTTGCATTTGTTTAACTCTGTGAAGCTGTGATACTTTTTGCCTGTCTAAAACACCCGATGGTCTAATAAAGAAATGAACGGCCATAGCAAGGCAGGAGAAAGGATAGGCAGGGTTGGCAGGCAGAGAGAATATACAGAAGGAGAAATCTGGTAGAAGGGAGAGCTTTAGGAGCCAGACAAGGAGGAGGACTCTAGGGGCCAGCCACCCAGTTACACAGCAAGCCACGGAGTAAGAGTAAAATTTACAGAAGGGAAAAGACAGATGGGATAGTTTAAGGAAAGCTGGCTAGAAACTAAGACAAGCTAAAGCCAGGCATTCATAATTAAGAATAAGCCTCCATGTGTAATTTATTTGGGAGCTGGGTGGCAGGCCCCCCCAAAAGAGCCAAAAAAAATCAACAACACAGTTCACTTCCAACATTCTACAAGGGCAGGCTTCATCAGTGCCCTAAATGCCAGAGCCTATTAACTAGTCTAGTCAACCTCAGACAACTTCGTTAATCTTCCTACCTCACAAGAGGAGATTCTGGGCTTTTCCGGGTCAGAAGGGAACAGACAGCAATGAGAAAGATGATTTAGCTGAAGGATGTTGGTATTGAGACACTACAGGATGTATGAAGGCTTCTTTGGCGGCAAGGGCATCAACCTTTGATGGACCCAACTCTAAACAGCCTTGCAGAAGCCCTTTTATTAATTGTTGCACAAAGGGACTTTTAACGTGGGTGGTGATGGCTGTGGTGGCCCACACCTTTAATCCCAGCACTCAGAAGGCAGGGGCAGGCGGATCTCTGTGAGGCCAGCCTGGTCTACAGACTAAGTTCCAGGAGCTACACAGACCAAGTCATTTCCAGCACAACAAAACCTCATATCTGATCTCAGTATTTGTAAGAATTCCAGGTTTGCCAGGAATGTGTTATAACTGTTATGCTAAGGCTCTGAAATTCCTAAGGAAGAGTAACCCCATAGATCTCAGATAACAAACACTGACCCCCCCCCCCAAACAGGGTTTCTCCATGTAGTTTTGATGCCTGTCCTGGATCTCGTTCTGTAGACCAGGCTGGCCTCAAACTCACAGATTATCTGCCTGACTCTGCCGCTTGGCTCAATCACTGATTATTTACAAGAGATTACTTGAAGGCCTAAACAGCCATTGCGCCGGAGTGTCAGATGCAATGGCTCTTCTAATTTTTCTACTACAAAAACAGGGATGCTATGGTACCAGTCATCACCAGTGTTCCTGCATCTTTGTATGGAGTGGGAGCAGAGGTCTCTGGTGGCATGCCTGGTTTGTCTGGTTGTCCCTACACAGAGGCAAGGACATGGCCTCTTCCCCCAGAATTTATATTTTAATGTGTATGCATGTGTTTGTGTACACAGTGGCTTAAGATTGATACTAGGATCTCCCTCCATTCTCTCCACCATATTCACTCAACAGGCTTTCTCACTTGAACCCAGAGCTCACCAATTAGCTGGTCTGGCTAGCTCCTTGCTTTGACGATCCCGTCTCCCACCTCCTTAGTACTGGGATTAGAGGCAGACTGCAATGCCTACTCTACATTCATTTAGGCGCTGTGGGCCTGAACTCTGGACCTCAAGCTTGTGAGGCAATCACTTTACCCACTGAACCATCTTCCCAGCTGCCAAAAGTTAGTTCAAGGAAAGGAGTATAACTGCTGCTACACTGTTTTAGTCTCAGATCTGGGCGTGGGTGGTCCCCATCTGTAATCTCAATACTCAGGAGGTGAAAGCAGGTGGCCATCCTAGGTCACATGGCAAGATCCTCTCAAAAAGTTTGTGGTTTAAACAGACAAATCAACGGGCAGTATCAGTGAACACCTTTAATCCCAGTACTTGGGAGGCAAAGGCAGGCAGACATCTGTGAGTTCAAAGCCAGCCTGGGCTAAAAAGCGAATTCCAGGACAGCTAGGACTGTTTCACAGAGAAACCCTGTCTCAAAAAAAAATTTTTACTGCCAATTTAGGAACATTCAAATTTCTTAGCAGGGCGTGGTAGAACATGCCTGTAATCTCAGAGTCGAGAACTCCAGAGCATGGAACTTCAAATTCAAGGCCTGGTCTACACAGGAAGTTCCAGTTTTCCCCCTGTGGTTGTCTTTGAACTACTCAGGTCCAAAACTCTTTTCAAAAAAATAAATTTTTTTTTTTTTTTTTTTTTTTTTTCGAGACAGGGTTTCTCTGTGTAGCTTTGCGCCTGTCCTGGGACTCACTTGGTAGCCCAGGCTGGCCTCGAACTCACAGAGATCCGCCTGGCTCTGCCTCCCGAGTGCTGGGATTAAAGGCGTGCGCCACCACCGCCCGGCATAAATTTGTTTTTATTTTATGTACATTGGTGTTTTGCCAGCATATGTATGTATGAAGGTGTCAGATCTTGGAGTTACAGAAGACAGTTGTGAGCTGCCACGTGGGTGCTGGGAATTGAACCTGGGTCCTCTGGAAAAGCAGTCAGTGCTCTTAACCGCTGAGCATCTCTCTAGGCCCCCAAGAAACCCATTTCTTTTTGTTTTTGTTTGTTGTTTCTTTTGGAGACAGGGTTTCTCTATGTAGTTTTGGTGCCTGTCCTGGATCCTGCTCTGTAGACCAGTATGGCCTCGAACTCACAGAGATCCACCTGGCTCTGCCTCCCGAGTGCTGGGATTAAAGGTGTGCGCCACCATCATTTCTTATTATAATACAGACAATTAACAATTTCTAGAAACTAGAGTTTTCAACTGTTGATGAGCACCAAGCAAAAGAATCGCCAATTTAGCATGGTTCCCCCCCCCCCCCCTTCTCACCTTTGAGACAAGGTTTAACTAGGTAACAGTCCAGGCTAGCCTTGAATTTGTGATCTTCCTGTCTCAGACTCCCAGGTTGAGATTATAGGTGTGTGTGCTACCCCTAGAATTTTATCAAAGATACTGTGACTTTCAGACAGTAATATACAGACCATATCCTTCTAGCCTTTTAAAAATTTGTAGAAAAATTTGTGTGTTCTGCCTGCCTGCATGCATTTGTGCATATGCATGCCTTTGCTGGCCAGAAAAGGGTGTTAGGTCTACTGGAACTGGAGTTACAGACAGTTGTAAGTCACTATGTGGCTGCTGGGAATTGAACCCAGGTCCTCTGCAAGAGTAACAAGTGCTCTAAACTGCTGAGCCAACTCTCCAGCCCCTTAAAACTTTTTTTAAAAAACCTTTAAATGTATGTATGTTTGTGCTGTGGCAAGTGTGTGGAGGGCAGAGACAACGTGCAGGAGTTTTCTCCTTCTGCCACATGGAACCTTAGGATCTCACTCAGTTGTCAGGGAAATGCCTTTACCTACTCAACCATCTTACCTGGGACACTCTTTGTGTACAGATCACCAAAAGTAATGTGAATGACATCGCACTTTGATGCCCACTGATTTTCAAGGATGGTCCTGTGCTTAACTGGTCCCAGGCCTTGCTGCCCAGTAAACAAATTCACTAGTGGGGGCTGGAGAGTTGGCTCAGGTGTTAAGAACACTTGTTACTCTTGCAGAGAG